CATGGTTCTGCATCCTTTTGCAGCAGAGGGAGATTGTTACTGAAGTCCATAACTGGTCAAATACAGAGAGTAGATGACTGTGAGGTCCCCTGCCCCGTTACCTATGATACATCTTCAGGGTGCAACCCCTAGCCCTATACTTTAGACCAGGGGGATTTCAGGTAGTGGAAGGAATTATAAAATCCAGAAGACCAGGACTACTGTTGTGAGGTAATGTGTTCTAGACACGACAGGGAAACTACATCCATGAAATAGCAACAATGTAACCGCCCAAACAATACTGCATGATGACACCACGAGCCAGCTTGCTAATGTGGGTGGAGACATTTCATAAAGCACTCACTCTTAGATAAAGAGCCGCTGGTGGATGAGTTCCGAGAGAGGAAGAATCCTTCTCTTCAGGGACCAGCTAATAGGTTATTCCATCCCAAGTGGCCAGCCCTGAACACATGTACGGATGAGCAACACTAGATGGATTTAGTAGGTGTGTGTTCCCCCAGCTCCCTCTCAAATTCATGACCTCTTCCTCTTTATTATTCCAACAGACACACACACACACACACACAAACACACACACACACACTACTGGATCCATTTAATGCCATATATATATATATATATTCATAATGCTCCATATATATATATATATATATGAATAAAATAAAAAACATTCATTTTATATGTACATCTATTTAGTACACATTTAGGTTGAATTAAAAATATTAAAGCTATTTTCATCCGTTCTTTCTTATATTAGTGTGACAACTGGCAACTTCTTCACTGCCTACATGGTGAGTACTATAACCCCTTTGAGCGGGCTATGCTACGGGATGTGTAATGAAGTAGAGGACCAAGTCTGCCACAGAGACGTGAACAGAGTGGAAAATAGGGAAATCAAAGCCAAGATGGTGGCATAGAACCACAAGGACCACGCATTGCTCGTGTTGCAGAGTGACAAAGCAGAGCAAGCAAGGATTCCGTTACTGACCAAGTAACTGGGGCTTACAGCGAGGGGCACCGATGTGGGGAACAGGGAGAATCCTAGGTTATTGTTGCCAAGTTGCCTATGATCCCTGTCAAGAGCAACTGTCAGGTGAGCAGGCCTCCAATGCTTAAATTCTCAGTCAGTCAACGGGAAAAGGAGAGCAAAGAGAAACGGGAAGGAAACACAGTAGCTTGGAGACCCGGCAGGGGGTGCGTCAGGGGCTGTGTTCAGAGAGCTGCGTCCCCTGGGGCTCCACTGTGGCATAAAGCAAGAGTAAAAAGGCTTTGGTCAGACACACATGGCGTATCCTTTTGGATGTAACCAACCCACACTTCTCATGAGGAGCAAATGATACGGAGAGCAGGATTTGTGCTCCCCAAGAGCGGGTAGAGCTCAGGAAAGAGCTTTTCCTAATTCCCTCAGTCCTTAGCTCTTTGGGGTAAGAAAATGGAAACAACAGAATGGAAACAACAGTTTGTAACAAAACAGAGGCGGTTACCCAGTGTTATTACCTGCCACGGGAAGCTGGGCAGACTCTGGCAGCTTTTTGTCATCCTGATGTGTTCGGAAGTCAGGGCCCCACATGCGCATTTGTCTTCGTTTGTGGCGGCAACGACATGGGGGAGAAAATCAGTATCTTCTGAGCAGACATGGGTTCCATGGTGGCTATAGCCTAAAGTCTCATCGAATGCTGGCAGACTCAAGGTCCTTGGTGTCCATGGGGAGCAAGGCAATGCTAAACTGCCTGCTCCTGGGATTACTTAGGGGGCAGTTGTACATAAGAGAGTAAAGGGTCTTCTGACACAGAGTACTTCCGGCCTGTGATTGCTCTAACATGGAGGCCAGAACCCGGAGTCAGCAACTACATCTAACTAACCACAGCACTCCAGCCCCTATGCATGGTGACAGAAGGAAGGTGAAGGAAGGAGGTAGGGTGACTGCCTACCTCCGTGAGAACTCACCACTTGGACTGCACGATTTGTGGTCTTTGGCCAGCTTGTAGCCTTTTGCACAACTGCACACGTAGGATGACTGGCCTGGGTGGCAGAAATGCTGGCATCCATCCGTCCTCTCTAGGTGACACTCATTTTTAGCTGAAAGGGAAGGAGAAGCTGGTGTGGAACAGTCAATGTTGTTGTCTATTGGTGCATGGGTCTGGCTCGCCAGCCCTGGTGTTGCTTGTATGTTACATTGTACAAGGGCAATTTAAACATGGTAATACAGTTACAGTCCTCTTTCTCTCCAGTCCCCAGAAAGCTTCCCACACTCAGGAGAGCTCATGGAGACGCAGTGAGGTGGCACCTATGTTTGCCCGAGGAGGAGTCACACTTGGACGTCTTCTACTGCACTAGCGTCTACATTCTTAGTTGTTTCCTTTCCCAAAGCAACAGCGGCTGTCTTTGGATTGTTCCTTTAAAGAACAGAAATGGGACCAAGAGGGGGGGGTCAGAGCCCAAGATAGACATCTGAGCAACTGAGGTGGGGCTGTAGTCCCTCAGCACAGTCTAGGTGGGACACACCCAAAGCATCACCAGGGAGGTGATGGTCTGGGAATCTGGAGTTGAGAGCAAAGGGCTGGACAAAGAACCTTTTCTCCACAGAGCTGGCTCTGAGCTACCAGAGTCACAGGAAGAGTTACATGCATTTATTCTGTAGCCACCAATTATCAAGAATCCATTCCCTTGGCCCCATAAGGTCATTTGCATGGGTATTTAGGGACTGTTCTTAGCCAGGCCTGGTGCTACGGATCTACTCATCATAGCTACTTTGAAGTCTGAGGGAGGAGAATCATTAGTTCAAAGCCTGCCTGGACTACATAGCAAGTTCCATTATTCTTTAGGTATATGGATGTTTTGCATATATATCCGTGTACCATATGTGTGCAGAGGTCAGAAGGAGGTACTAGATTCCCCCTGGGACTGAAGTTATAGAAGGTTGACAGCGGCCATGTGGGTGCTGGGAATCGAACCTGGACGAGCAGGTAGTCTTCTTAACCTCTGAGCCATCCTTCTAGCCCCATGTATAGCAAGTTCAAGACCAGTCTGGGGAATTTACTCAGATCCTGATCAAAATAGAAAGCTAATAGGCCTGGAGATACTGTCAGCGGAGGAGTGTTCTCCTGCACATATGGGACCCAAGTGTCAATTCCTAGAACTTAAAAAAAAAAAGAGTATTTGCTTATGAAGTTTTGCTTTGATTTCTCTCTATCTGGAGTGTCCCCAACCGGCATGCCAGTCAGACACACTTGTGTACTGCCCTTCCAGCTTGGATGCCAATGACAGATTATGGGGAATGGTCAGGAAAGAGGAGAGGAGACCCCTATGCTATGAAAATTTCAACAGAGCTGGGGCCAGACAGTGGGTCACAGGATGCAGCCAGCACCTGTGGCATGATTTCCGAGGTGGGGTGGAATAGGGGAACCAAGGAGCCCCTGGGATGAGTGTCACATGGTTCCCAGGCACCCTCTGGTGCCTGAGCAAGCTGTTGTGACTTCCAACAAGGCCCTCGTGGATGGGGGGGATGGGCAGAGCCTCACCCACTGCACAAGTCTTGCCCTCATAGCCGGGGGTGCACGTGCAGCTGTAACTTCTGATGTGGTCCTCGCATGTCCCGTTGTTGAGGCAGGGCTGGGAGACACATGGCGAGCCACCTATGAAAGAAGGGCCTCTGAACCTGCACTGTGGAATCCTTGAGTCAGGACCCCAAGCTTGCTCCACCAGGGCAGGGGAGGCCGTGTTCCAGGTGCTCCCTGTCCCACTGGGTGTCGCGAGACCCCTATGCATCTCTCAACGTTACTATCATGCACCCCATCTTCTACTCATTTCAATGGGTCCTTGAGTTCACCCACCCTACATTCTCCATTCAGCTTTCTGCTGACACCCACCCCATGTTCCTCCTGAGGATAGCTTGTCGAGCAGACCCCAAGACAAACATCTGGATTACAGCCATTGTTCTCTCCAGTCTGACCCAACAATTTCTGGCCAACAGTGTGCTCCTTCCCAGAAGCAGGACAAGCTATGAGGTGGGGAGGAGGCTCCTGTCTGTTGCCTGAGCCCTAGCTGCCTGGGAACCCCCAGATATCAACACACCAAAAACAGGCCTTATTGTGGTCCTGCTAGGGGGAGACTTAGGACCAATGCCCTTCCCTGGCAGATGCCTCGTCCCTCCCGGGAGCCAGAGGCTTAGAATATGAATCCATGGGCTCCAGTGGAGACCCATCTCAGAGCAGAAGAAGAAGGAACACAGGCTAGAGAGCTGGGAAGGCACTCACCACTGTACTGTCTCCAGAACTCATTCTGTGGGGGCAAAAGGGAAGAATGTTACCCCAGGTAACCAAATATTGACCTCTTACCTGATTGGTTAGTGTGTGTGTGTGTGTGTGTGTGTGTGTGTGTGTGTAAAGAAGTTACTTAATCCAGGAATGGGGATATGGGGATCATGGGGAATGTTCTTGCTGTGTGTCTGTAAGGGAAAAGTTTCTTTTTTCTAAAGTTCTCCTGGCATGTGCAAGCAGCAGAGAGTGGTGCTTCAGTCGTGGTGTGATGGGCAGGTCTCCCCAGCTAGGCAGCCTGACCAGAAGGGAGTGGGGTCCTCACCTACTGCTGAGGCCAGTTCACTGCCATCTCTAAGTCTGGCTTTTCATGTGTGAGGTCAGGGTTGTGCCAACCCCACCCTAAGAAAATGGACTAACTAATCCCAAGACAGCTGTGTCTGAACCGTGAGAAAGCACACAGGCACCGAGGGCTTCCGTACCGTGCTGACATCATTTTCAAACACTTCTCTTGCTTCTTCGTAGCTGCAGATTTCCTCATAACATTCCTTCTCCAAGTTCCCCTGAAAGATTTCCTCCAGGAAGTAAGAACTGGCCCGCCTCCATCTCACCAGAACGTTGTTTGCCCTTGAGGCTGGAAGAAACACTGCAGAGGGGCGGAACAGTGTGAGCATGGGGCCCTCTCTCACACAGAGCCTCAGCCAGCCCATGCTGTTCCCCACTGGTCAGCAGGGCCTGCTCTGGGCATCCTCAGGACCAGCTGCTCACTTCTCGGTGGGCATGTACTTTCTCTTGGTTGAGTGAGTGAGTGGCCCTTGTGAGTTTCAGGCAGACACATTGGCATTTTATGATTTGAGGCCCAGAGAAGCCACACTCTGTCAGCTGCAGTAGGTGAGTGTCCACACAGCAGCACAAGAACATGGGAAGACACATCATTGTTTGCCTCAATGTCATCTACCCTGGTGGTTTTCAATATTGGTGCTGCAAAAATGCAACACCTGTGGACAGACATGCAGCAGGTAGGTCCTTCATGGATGGGTGTGTGTGTCCATGTATGAACAAGAAATACAGGGATGCAGGGATTAGGTGGCTTCTCCACGGTAGGAAGGAGTTCTGGAGAGGCAGACAGACAGACAGTTCTAGGGATGGGGTACACTAGGATAGGCTAAGTCGCTCCCTTGGGCACAGCTCAGACCCACATGGTTTTCCTCCCTGCACATTCACAGGGTAGTATTGGGCTCTGAGCATCTCCGACCTGTGTTGTCACCTTGGACACTTTGGGCAGTGGTCTGAGGAGAGGACAGGCTGGGAAGGTGTACACAGCTTGATGTTGATGTGGCAACAAGCCTTTGTCCACCCCAGGGACAGTGATGCCATCACCGGGCTTAGAGATACGGTCCTACTCACCGGGGAGCCTCCAGCTCACAGTCACTGTCAATGGGATGAAGGCAGGTATGTAAGTTGTCTGGTCATCCCCTGCCCCCACACATACTACTGTGCAAAATAACAAGTAGCCCCATTTAGCTAAAGCTGTGTTCACGGGGATCACAAGGCTCAGGAGGCTCAACCTGACAACAGACTCTGAGCTCAGACTCCGGTGAGTTCGGAGAGATGGCAGACAGAACTTGCCCACGTGGGCTCCACCCTCACAGGGAGTTGGCTTTGAGCAAACACCATTCCACAGGAGTGTCAGGCATGGATGGAGGGAGTGCGGAAGTCAGAGAGAGTGGAGGTCAGTGGATTGGAACCACACACAGAAGGCCCCGAGACTCAGAGAGGCTAGGAGCACCACAGAAGGCTGCTCCAGCCTGGAGAGAGCAGTGTGGATCCAGACTCAGGCTAGCTGTTCCCACAGTGCTTTGGCACAGGATAAGAACACCCGGCATGACTGAGCACAGGGACCCCAATGGAGGAGTTAGGGGAAGGACTGAAGGAGCTGAAAGGGCCTTATCTGGCATCAGCAGGAGGTGAGACCCTTGGTCTTGTGAAGGCTTGATGCCCCAGTGTAGAGGAATGCTAGGGTGGTGAGGTGGGAGTGGGTGGGTGGGTGGGGGAACACCATCGTAGAAGCAGGGTAAGGGGGGATGGGATAGGGGGTTTGCAGAGGGGAAACTGGAAAGGGGGATGACATTTGAAATGTAAATAAATAAAATATCCAATTAAAAAAAAAAACACCCGACATGTACGTGGACAGGCTGCAGCCTAGCTTTGGCTAAGGGGTTCCCAGGCCGGTCTTGTCCTGCACAGCCCAGGCTGTACTTGGCCTGACAGGTCCCTGTTCCTCTCAGCAGCTGGTACCACACTGACTTTCAAGAGGGAGAGTGAGAACGTGGCTTGTCCTTTCAGGCCCCTAGAGACAGGATCATCTATAGGACCATTGAGTGTCCCAAAGATGAGATGGCTAGGTCTCGTGGTTCATTCCTGTGATTCTAGTATGTGGGAAACTGAGGCAGAAGGATTGCCAAGAGCTGAAGAGAGCCTGAACTACACAGTAGGTTCTAGACTACCTTGGGGTGTAGAATAAGACTCTGCCTTAAGAAAATGTTTTACCCTGCAGTTACTTGATGTGCCAGGGTGGGTTGGTACCCAAGGGGCCCTCCCCCTTCTCAGAGGAGAAGGGGAGGAGGGATGGGGGAGGAGCTGTATGAAGGGGGACCGGGAGGAAGGAGGGCTGCAATCAGGTTGTAAAGTGAATAAATAAATAAGTTAATGGGCAAAAAAAGAGAGAGAGAAAATGTTTTTAAAAGAATAAAACAGCAAATGCCTACCTGAAAGCTCCGCCTGGTGCAGGACGAGAGTAAGGATGAAGCCCCGGAGAAGCAAGATGCAGCCAGCCATGCTGACCCAGAGCCCAGCTGGCCCAGCCAGAGCAAAGTCTGCAAATGGCCAAAGTCCAGGGCCCTGGGAAGCACTGTGATCAATATGTGCCTTAGAACACACAGAAGCTAGTCTAGGTGACCCGCGGACCCAGACGTTGATGGCTTGAGGAGGCTCACTCTCATCACTCTCTCCCTTCCTGCATCTACCGTTAGGAAGAGGTAGACATGGAGGGGCTTCTGCACAGGGGGGCTCCTTTCCCTGTAAGGCGCCTTCCTGGGTCTGGACACAGCATGAGTAGGAAGGATACCACCGAAGGGAACGTATGGTCTTACAGAGAAGGGGCACGTAGACTTAACAGAGAAGGGAATTTTACAGTGCAAAGTTCCATGATGAAGATGGGTGGGTGAGAGGCACGTGGGAGGAAGCCAGCTGGTGTGTCTGAAGCCAGACTCACAGGAACACCAGAGTTTAGAGGGGATGAAAGTATGGTGAACAAATGGGTCCTTATATCACCATGGCTGGTGCCTGTATATTTGGTTGACTGAAGGACACTCACAGAGGCAAAATTCTAATGACACCTATAAACACAATTATTTATTGAGGTAGAAAGCGAAGGAGACAGAGAGGAGAGCAGCCTATCAATACATACACCGGGGAGTTGTTTTTAAAAAGTTGGATGAGAAACAAATTCAACTGTATCTTTAGTGAATGACCTAAGCTAGAAATTAATTTCCTAGGATCAAGCAGGTGACGTTCAGGCAGTCTGAAGGTCTCTGTGCTGCCTTCTAGGAAAGGCTGGAGAGAGAGATCTGTCTGTGGGGATCCGTCTCCATGTGGACATTCATTTACACACTGTTAAAAACTGATCTTAAAACCAAGAACAGCCGCTCGAGAAGAGGGATCCAAACCCTTCCCATCAGCACTCAGGCAACTCTGAGGAAGAAGAGATGGGAAATCTGTAAGAGCCCGAGGGGACACAAGACAACAAAGAAACTGGGTCTTCTCGATACAATGGGACAAACACACGTGTGAACTCAGAGACGAGGCAGCATGCACACCTCTAAACCAGATGGCTCCCAATGCTAGGTAGGGAGGTAGACACAAGCCCCACCAGGAACCCAGAAGTTATCTCCAGTTGGCAAGCACTCTCAAAGGAAAAATTAGTTTTCCCCAATTAGAGTCCCACTGGGAATGCAAACAACACTTAAAGGCAGGTTCCCATGCCCAGCAGAAGGCCAACACAAAACGAGCTCAATGATATTTTTCCAGGGCTTTTTCTTTTTTTTGATTTTTGATATTTTTTTTTTTGTCTCATAATGCTCCATCTGGGCATTTCTTTCTTACCTTACAGGTCTTTTGCTTACACATTATAGCTTCAGATTTTGTGTTTTTATGGCATCTCTGTGTGTGCCTCCCCATCTGAGTATGTTCTTGTGCTTTTTTTTTTGGCTTTTTAAATGTTCTTTTTAATCTTATTGTATATATGGGATTTGTTAGAGTAGTTTACAGATTGTGGTCCTTCTAGTCTGATAATGGTTGTCTTTAGTTCAGTACCCAGGACCCAGTAGTCGTTCAGTATACAAGGCTGGATGTCTCAGCTGCTGTCCAATATACACCAGAATCCTGAAGAAGTAGGAATTCCAGTGGAGGGATTGACTTGCCAGCCAGAGTGAGGGCAAGCAGCACAGCGAGCAAACTTCTGTCATCCTTGTCCTTTATATAGGCTGCCAGCAGAACGTCTGGCCTGGATTAAAAGTGGGTCTTCCCACCTCAGACGATCCAGATTAAAAGTGGGTCTTCCCACCTCAGATGATCCAGATTAAAAGTGGGTCTTCTCACCTCAGAAGATCCAGATTAAAAGTGGGTCTTCCCACCTCAAATGATTCAATCAAGAAAAAAAAAAGTCCCTGACAGGTGTGCCCAGCCAATTAGGTCTCAGTTTATTTCAGACAGAGTCGCTGATGCCAAGAAGAACCATCACAGACCCTAAACTCTCAGACTCAGTGTCTCTGGCCTCAGCCATTTCTGACAGTTATGCGCTAATGTCCCCTGGATCATTTTTTTATTTTTCTGAAGGATTTTATCATTTGTCTTCCCCTGCCACCTAGGACCACTTTAAGTGACTTCTTTGGATGAAATTGAGACTGCTCACCCATTCTCTAGGCACAGGCTGATCGGAGGACTGATAGGAAGCACGTCTATAGCTTCCCCAAACCATCCAAGATATAAAAACACTGAAGACATCTGGGGCTCACATTCCTCAGCAGTGGGAGGGGCGTGGCCTCTGTGAAAGCCACCCTCCAGGAGCAAAGTCTTTTCTCCTTCAGTCATTTGATAGTGAAAGGCCAAATCTTTTAAGTTCAGACTCCATTTTAGAAAACCTGACCTAGATTTGAACTCAGGTAAACTAACAGACTGATACCTAACATTAGTTTCCAAGTTGCCCCCCATCCAACAAAAACAGCCTACCTCTAGTCTCTAGGCTAATTCCCAACAAGACCAGTGTCTCCAGGTTATTCCCCCTACAAACCTGTACCCCCACGTTACACACCCACCTTCTGCCTAGCCACCACCAATGCAGAGGGGAGCAGGATTAAGTTCACAATATGACTCCCAGCACCAGCCAATTATGTCAAAGGCCATAGTAACTTTTCAATTAGATGCTTGCACACTCAACCCCTCCCCCACTTGCTCCTTACTATAAAGCCTTGCCCCGATAGATATTCGGGGCTCCCTCCCCCGACCCAAACCATCCTGTGTGACAACAGTGTGAGGGGGTGGCCTGAGCTAGCTCTAATAGAATAAAGACCCTGTTGTGAGTTGCATCAGATTGGCTCCTGTCTGTTTTGGGGGTTGAACCCTTCCCTGGCACTGCATTAGGTCTGACTTCTGGATTCCAAAGTGTTCTTAGGAGCAGAGCCAAGTGAGGATTTTACTCTTTTCTGTGTCAGTTTAGAAACCACCACTATCTGCCCTGGCAGTCTGTGCTCTCGTTACTAACACACCTAGGGAGCCTGGTCCCCATCATCAGCACCCCAGAGCCTGCACCCACATTGCCAGCACCACAGAGATCCTGGGTTCCAACTGCCAGAGCTACAGGGGGAGATGCCTCATTCAATCCAGGATTCACCTTCCCAGCCCTGACACTCAGTATCTGGGTGACAGATTTTCTGCTTGTTTTGAAATTATTGATTTTTTTTCTTAATGTTTATTGTGGTAAAATATGTATAACATGAAAGTGTTTCTGAGTAAATTGACTTTTTAAATATTGTCTTTTAAAATAATTTACTTATTTTTTATTATTATGTGAATTAGTGTTTTCCTGCATGTGTGTCTGAGTAAAGGTACTGGATCCTCTGGTGCTGGAGTTACAGACAACTGTGTGCTGCCCTGTGGGTGCTGGGAACCCAGGTCCTCTGGGAGAACAGTTGCTGCTCTTTACCACTGAGCCATGCCTCCAGCCTGAAAACTCACATTTTAATGTCTGCCCAGGTTCCCCATGGACTGACCCCACACCCACACAGAATATTGTGCTTGCCTTTCTATTGATTCAGGGACATGTGTGGATGCTGACCTTGTCCTGGGGTTGTCAGAGCCCAGGGAGTTCTTGTTCTTAAGGACAGCCACAAAGTCCATCCCCAGAGGCAAGTCCCCCCACTGCTGACCTACAGGCAGGGCCAGTGGACCACGCTACAGAGAAGGAGTTCTCCACTGTCCACATCATTGTCCCAGCTGCAGCTGCTGAGGTCTGCTCCGCTCTCAGACCCCAGCCTTACTCTTGGCTACTATGGTTCTAGGAAATCAAGTGTTGTTTTTGTTGACTTTTCCAAACGTTGCAAAATCTGTTTACAAAGGACTCGGTTCAGCTCTTGATTTGGGGGAAGTTTTGTACTGGAACCTTTAAACTTTGCTTAGGAAAGTTATGTAAAGTCCAAGCTATAGGTACTTCTGGAAAACAGTTACTCTATTTACTGAACGTAGGCTTGGTTTCCACAAACATTAACTCAGGGCTGGGATGCAATGGAAGTCTAGAGGGGAGAGACATGCCCTGAGCCCTGGCCAGCCACGTCATGCCACTCTTTGGACACATCCTTGAATGACATGGTAGTGTCTGGAAGAGTTTCAGAAACTTCTGGGTTAGGCTTACTCCAGAGACTTAGAATTCAATGTCTGGAGAAAGGCCACGACTTAGATTTTGCAAAGACCCCACTGAGGTCTCCTAATCAAAGCCAGAGCTAAGACCCATTTGATGGTATGGGGTAGGGTCTCTATTAGCAACTGGTGAGTTGACAACATGCTCAGGAAGAAGGGTCTGTGCACATTCAATACCCAGTTTAGCTCAGGGGAACTCCATGCACACTCACCAGGCAGCCCATCTGGGAAGACTCTTGTGCACTCTTACTACACAGCCCAGCCCGGGGAGACAGCATGCACACGCAGCATTCAGTTCAGCACAACGTCTATGCACACTCAGTGGACGGCACAGTATGGGGAGCATTTGTACACACTTAAAGGCAACCCAGCATGGGACTGTGGCTGGCTTGGATCTGGGTGAAGAGTCCCTTTATTTAGACAGAGACCTTAGCCTTTCTTCCCAGGATCCTTTACTTTCAGTGGATGTCATGGAATTAGCAATTCCATGTTGCCTAGTTCCCAGAGGAGACTGAGGGTTCTCTGGCCAAGCTAAGGAGTATCAGAGTCTGGGCCTCTCAACCTAAAACACCTGGTGAGGGGCAGAAGTCCCTGTGTGTGTGTGTGTGTGTGTGTGTGCGCACGCACGCAGTTAAGCACAGTCAGTTGAGACAGTCAGTCTGACCACTCAAAATCAGAATCAGATGCTGTGATTATGGGCAGAGATATCTCCATCCAAGTGTGAGCAGACACCTAACCCCTAGAACCAGCGACTCTCTGAGTGTCTTCTTGTCTGGTTCAGGAAGAGAGACCTTTGCTCACCTGCAGCCTGTCTCTTTTACCATGAAGTCAAGGGAAGTAAGACTGAGGCAAAAGACTCCACCACTGCAGGTGGACAGCCACCCAAGCCACATTCCTGCTCGGGTGGCAACATTAAACAACACC